GCCCCCCGGGAACGGTAAGGCCTGGCTCCCCACAGGGGTCACTGCCATGGCACCCTCAGCAATGCTGGACCAGGGAAAGGGCTCCCAGCCCTGCGCTGGGTTGCCCCAGGGTCTCCTTTCGAGGCATTTCTCTCACTGTCCCTTGCAGGCGATGCCAGCTCCACAGGTGCCCCCTCGGCTCCAGGGATCATGGCCAACCCCCACCAGCCCCTGCCCAGCCAAGGGCGGCCGGGCACACCTCCTGCCAGGAACCCAGCCCTGATGGTGAAGAAGCAGCTCGTGGACAGGCAAATCCTCCTGCAGAGAAAGGTAGGCTGCTGGGCAGCATGGTGGGGTGGGAGAGCCTGTCTGTGCCAGCTGGGAGCTGCAGTGGTGCTGCCCACAGGACACCCTGCACAGTGCCCTGCTGCATCCACACCATGCAGGTGGATGGGACAGTGCGTGGGGACAAAAGCTCCTGAAATATCCTCCAACCTCTGCTACCTGCACCCTACAGCAATGCTCAACCCTGGCACTTCGGGAGCTTGTCTGGGAATCCCGTCTGTTCTCTGGGGCTGTGGGGCATGCTGCCCACTTGGCTGCTGTCCTTGGGTGATGCTGGCCATGGATAGGCCAGTTTTTTGCTAGTTTTTTTGCCTCCAACCTGCAGCTCACAAACCTCCTCTTTAAGGCTTGGTTTCAGTACCAGCTCAGGAGTATCCCCAATCCACCACGAGGACACTAGGAGCTGAATGACTTGGTGCTGCACCAGGAGTTGAAGGGCTGTGGCAGGCTACAATGGGGTGACACAGTGAGGACAGCCACCCCGAGGACACATCCAACTGCTGTAATCTCCACTGTGTACCCCCCTGCCTTGCCCTGCCATGAGACCCCTGGGCTGTGGCCATGCATTCATTGTCCCACATGTGATTGTCAAGAGCCCTTCCAGCTGCTTGAGAGGACACAGGTTGTTCAACACCCTTTCCAGGAGAGAAGCTCGCCTGGGGTTCAAAACCACATGTGGTCCTCCTCAGGGAACACAACAGCTCCTTGCTTCAGGATGCAATATAAGACAGGGAAGGGCTGGAAAGAAAACCCCAGCATGTGTTATTTCTGTCCCTGGGAAGAGTAAACGTGTGCCTGGCACGGGAGCAGCATCCACCAGTGGATGGCTGAACACATGCTGCCAACACACAGAGCATGTGGAGCTCCTGCAGAGCAGCAGCAGAGGGGGTGGGTGGGGATGAAGTGCAGGCCAGAGGGTGGTGATGTTTAGAGGTCCCCAGCAAGGTGATGGCCTTCTCTCATACCTTGTAGTTAAGCACAGAATGAATCTTTCTTCTGCCAAATGCCATGGAAGGAGCAGCTGATAATGTTTCACCCTCCCTTCTCTCCTGCACCCCATCATTGCAGGTCAAAGATGCCAGCACTCAGACGGTCCCACCAAACCCCACGAGCCCTGGAAATCCAAGCCTTGCTTGGAGCAGTTCAGTACTTCCCCCTGCTCCCAGCTCCCATGCCATTGCTGAAAAGCTGGATGCTGTACAGACAGAGATCCAGAAGCTGAGCCAGGCCCTGCACATGATGCTGGAGAGGCAGAGCCAGCTGGAGCAGCAGCAGGAGCACCAGCAGCGGCTGCAGCAGGAGGTGCTGGTGACACTGCAGCAGCTCAGCTCCACAGTGAGCCACGGCACCGTGCCGGCCAACCAACCCTGCGTCCCCTTCAGCAGCACAGCCGAGCCCTCACCCACCATGCCAAGCTTCAGCCAGTTCAAGATGGAGCTCATCTGAGCTCATGTGATGCCAGCAATGCTCTAGCAGTGACACGCTGATGGCAGGATGAAGCAGTGGAGAAGAACCACCTCCCAGAGGCTGTGGCTTAAGGACTACGGGGCATCCAGCAGAGAAGGTCACAGGTGGCTTATATCTTCAGCCCTGTTGACTGAAAGGGGCTGCCTGGCACAAGAGGCAGGGTAGTGGAAAGCTGAGGCCCCACTTCTGTGCTGTGCAACCTGGCTGGCACTGGGGATGGCTGGTGGCCCGTGGACTTCATGGACTTCAGCAGCACACACAGGCTGCCAGCAAGGAGAAGATGCAACTGAGAGAGAACAGCAGGGAGGAGGGTCTCAAAGGAGATGTGAGGCTTCCTCTCATGAGGGTCAGTGCCAGGATGATCAATCAGGGACGCTTTGTGCTTTCCCTCTGTGGGGCCTTGTTCAGTAAAAATGTACATACATGAGAGTTCAGAAAGTGTGCGATCTCTCTTCATTTTACCTACCTCTCACTCCAACATCAAGCAGGCGGGATCTCTCTTGTGCACTGCCACCATGCGTGGAGCTGTGCAGCGTGCCCAAACCCATGAGGTGAGACCTACGACTCCACATATGAAGGATGCTACCAGAGGCCTGGTATCAGCCACTGCACCATTAGAAATATATCACACTTGTGTAGGAAACAATCTTTTACTGAGCAGAGTCCACATAGTTCACTCTCCTCACTCAAATTCTCAGCAGATCTGGAATCTGGCACTGCTCCTGCCTACTGCCTGGCTAGGACAGGGGCAGGACCTTGTGAGTAAGTGTTGCATCCAGGCAGGAGCTGGGTATTCCTCTCTCCTCTAACCCTTTTCCTGGGCAGGACATTCTCCTGGCTGCGGTCCTCAGCAGCATGGGCTCTTCCTGCTGCAGGCTGCCAGTGGTGCAGAGCTGCTGAAGCTGGGGGGGAACAATGCTGAGAACCCCTTTGCCTGGGCAAGATGGGTTCAAGGGAGCTGACGGACTTTCACTGCAGCAATGGGGTCCAGAGGAACTGTAACTGGACTTGCCAGATGTGCAAGGGGTGGCCTTGGTTCATCACCCAGCAGTGAATCTTGAGAGGAGGCAGAATATGTCCTTCCTGTGCATCAGACAAGCAGGGTTATTGCTTTCTGGTCACTGCTCAAGCTCTGTGGAGAAGTGCCCAGCCTGTTTCTTTGAACTCCTTCAGTCTGAGGTCAAGGCTTGTGAAAATGATCCAACTGTTTGTGCGCACACACAAAGCTGTACTCACACCCCATGCACCCCACTGGATGTTTTGCAGGTCCCTGCAGCAGCCCTGGTTGCAGTGATCCCCCCAGACACACGCCCGTCCTGGTGCTGCGCTGGCAGCATTAGAACTCTGCTGCCATCTCCCCACGGTCACTCATTTCGATGCTGGTGTAGTTCTGGGGGTGTCTGAAAAGCCAAAGGGAAATGGGAGATCAGTCACTCTGCTCTTTTGCACAAGGCAACTAACCCGCATTCAGCTTGGCACTTGAAATGAAGAGGCTGCTGACAACATTAGGGAACTCCAAGTAATTATTTAAAGTGCTCCCATGTTATAACGTGGAAGCTGTTTCCCAACAAGGTAGTCAATCCTAAGCTGTCTGTTGCTTCCACCCTGCTCTAAAGGAAGAGCTCTTCCCTGTGGCCAAAGCATCATCTCTCACTGCCTTTGTGTGCCACAAGGCTTCAGCTTTCTGCTCTCCCACCACATGCCATATGTAAGATTAATGGTCTTCACGCTGTATCCACTGACATGACTAGCATTGCGCATGTTTTCACTTGTGGTTATCTTAACTTCCTGCGGAACCAAAAGCAAAGGAACTTTGCTGCAAAAATAGTAAGAGCAACATACTGGAGTGTCTGGATGAAGAATGTAGGTGATCACCTGAAAGAGGGAACAGGTCACTGCATAGCAATTAGAGAGGAAACACTTGGGAAAGAGAGGGTGAGAAACGCAAGGCAGATGGGAAGATGGTTTCTCACCTTTTGATGAAGTAAAATGCTAGGCCAACCACCAAGAATATGAGCAGGAGAGATCCCACGACAAACAGGGCGATTTCCCAGTCCTGGAAGGAAGCTGAGGGTGCAAAGGCAGAGACAGCATTGTAGCCATGACGTCTCCCAGCACAGAGTGCCACTAGGAGGTCACAGAATGGGTTGGGTTGGGCTGGATTGTGTTGGAAGGGACCTTTAAATACTATCTAGTTCAACCCTCTGTCAGTTTTAAAGCCATTCCCTGTTGTCCTGTCCCTATAGGCCCATTTTGGTCAAAGCCCCATCCAGCCTGGCCTTGAACACTTCCAATGATGGGGGCACCCACAGCTTTGATGGGTGACAACAGGTTGGGCTGTCCCAGCCTCCTGATGTGGAGAGCCCCTCTTCCACCCCCCAGCTGCATCCCTGCAGTGTGCTGGCTCTGGCCAGCTCCAACCTAGGTCCCAGCTCCTGCTCTGAGCACTTGGGCTTCTGGGCTGTGTGCCCAAGAGCTCCAAAAGCAAGGAACTTGCCAGTGAAGCCCAGTCTGGTGTCTTGCCCTGCATTGCCCCTCTCATGAGGGGATGTATCCTGACCCTGGCCCCAGCCCTGCTTGCTGTACTGGAAGCAGATCACCGTGCTCAGCTTTGCCTCCTGCTCACCAGCTCTGTGTGACATGGATGGGGTGCCTTTGGGGGCGATGCACTCAGGGCTGGTTTTCAGCATGCTGCCATCCACCGTGAAGGGGTGGGGGCTGGCCAGGAAGCCCCGGCACCAGGTCTCGATGGAGTGCTGCTGCTCTGGCTGCCGAGCCCATGCCTGGCCCCAGACCTTCACCAGGGAGCCCATGCACGTCAGGTTCAGTTCTGTGGAGGAACAACAGCGGTGGTCAGAAACCCTCTGGCTGTTCAGGAACATATTGCTCCCATGACCTCGTGCTCTGCTCCAGTAAAACCCTCCTGCTCCTATGCTTTTCTCCCTCAGAAATCATGCTGCCATGCTTTACTGTGGGTAACTTGAGCATATGCCCAACCTTTGGTGACAAAAGGGACTTGGAACCCAGAAGAATACTTCATAATACATGTTGTAACTTCAAGATCTCTACCCAATAGTGAGAGTTGCCTGAAATGGTTCAAAGGGTCAAAAAAGTGTTTGGGTAAGGGAGACAAAGCACGGCTGTGAAGCCTTCACTTCATAGAATCATAGATTGGTTTGCACAGGAAGGAACCTTAAAGCTCATCCAGTCCCAACCCCCTGCCACAGGCAGGGACACCTTCCACTAGAGCAGGTTGCTCCAAGTCCTGTCCAAACTTGGCCTTTTGTAACTTCCTTACAAAACCAGACAGAAAATAGAAAATGTTTCTCCCCATCCCTCAAACACTATAGGTCACTTCCAGAAGAGATTTTTTAGTCTGGGTATTTCAAATATGTATAAGACACTGAAGGAGTACAAGCCTGCAAGTTTGGCTTAAGAAGGGACCATCCTGGTGATGAGCAGTGTGGACAAGGGAGGGAGGAGGACACTGCAAACCGGGTGAGCAGAGTGGGGCACCAACCTTGCAAGTAGAGCTCAGAGACACCGCAGGAGCACTTCTCCTCTAGGGAGCTCACCAAGACCCTTTTTAAGCTATCCAGCATCCTCCTGTGCTGCAGGGTCCATGCGGAACAGTCTAGGGAAAAAGGAGACATGGTTTTCTGGGTGCAGCTTGGGGATGTTAATAAGCTTCCAGCTGCATGCCCCTTCCAAAACACTTGGCTTCATGCCTGATTTCAGGAGCACAGATCCTCCAGAGCCAGTATCCCATCCTCTTCTGTCCCCTTCCTGGAGGGTGAGTTTTCACTTCTAGCCTTCTACTACCATGTATGCCAGCTTCTCTCCTTCACCAGCCTCACAGAGGAGTGGGAAAGAGGCATGCCCCACAGGTCCCACCACACAGGCGAGTACAGAGTGGTCTCTCATTCTGGGAGAGGAGGGAGAGGTCCACTGCCTGCTCCTCTCTGGAGGCTGGAGTTGGAGAAGGAACCTTCGTGTCATTTTACCCAGGTCTTGACTGCCCCAAGCTGGTCCAAGCGTGGCCTTTGCAGGGGCTGGAGACACCCCTGTACTTTTGCTTGTGGAGTAAGGATTGAGCGATACCGCTTGGTTCCTGTGGATGGAGAGGTTTCGACTGGATATTAGGAACAATTTCTTCCCCAAAGGGTGGTCAGGTGTTGGAACAGGCTGCCCAGGGCAGTGGTGGAGTCACTGTCCCTGGAAGTGTTCACAAACCGTGTAGACGAGGCCCTCAGTGACATGGTTTAGTGGCGGCCTTGGCAGTGCTGGGGAATGGTCGGACTTGATGATTTTAAAGGTCTTTTCCAACCTGGGTGATCCTATGATTCTATGGGCTGAGACTAGAGGGTTTGCTGGCAGCTTCCCTGGCTATCTCTCACCATCATGAGAGACTTGTGGGGATTCCTGCCATTGCTACAAATCTAATGCTGCAGAAAGAAACCCCAAGCAGAGCTCAGCCCTGCCTGAGTGGAGACATCTCACATGGAAGTCGTGGCCACCATCATAGAAGCACAGGCTGAAGCTGTGAGCAAGGCTGCCCTCTTGGGATGGCAGCATCAACATCAACACATGGGTGTCCGTACCAGCTCTCCCTCAGCACATCCCCTTTCATGACTGGGAGGCAGCGGTGTCCCGACCAGCAGCACCCTCCCATGCCACAGGAATCATAGAATCCCAGACTGGTTTGGGTTGGAAGGCACCTTAAAGCTCATCCAGTTCCAACACCCTGCCACGGGCAGGGACACCTTCCACTAGAGCAGGTTGCTCCAAGCCCTGTCCAACCTGGCCTTGAACACTGCCAGGGATGGGGCAGCCACAGCTTCTCTGGGCAACCTGTGCCAGCGCCTCAGCACCCTCACAGGGAAGAGCTTCTGCCTAAGAGCTCATCTCAGTCTCCCCTCTGTCAGGTTAAAGCCATTCCCCCTTGGCCTGTCCCTACAGTCCCTCGTCCAAAGCCCCTCTCCAGGTTTCTTGTAGGAAGCTGGGGTCAATCCCCTGACCCAACCCTCCCACCCCACCAGTGGGGCACCCAACTCCACTCACTGGGTGTCAGGAAGCAGAGGTGGAGATCCACTGCAAAGATTTCCTCGGGACAACTGTTCTGCAGACCAGGGGTAGGGTCCGAGATGGCAAACTGCAGTTCTGTGCTGGCACTGCTGCTGGCACAACGGCTCAGGGACACGGGCCTAGCACCACAAGAGGAGTCAGAGCTCACCAAGACATCACATAGCTTTCTTCCCACCTCCAACCACAATCCCCCCACCCCCCCAGGCCCCAGCTCCTGACACTGCTGGGGGTGATAGAGAGTTTGCTTTAGCTGAAATCAGCTTTTACGGAGCCATCAGAGGTGGATCCAGCCAACCCCGGCGGCTGGAGAAGATCTGGGGTTGGCTAGAGCGAACCTATTTTGTCTGACTGGCTTCTGAAGGACTAAGATTGTTGCCTCATTTCACCCAGCATCCCAATACTAAGAGTTTGTCCTCCAGGATAACGAGTTTTCCAAGCTACACAATACCTATCTCTGCACTTCACTAACCTATTGCTCCCCTCCACACACCACACTTGGAAACTGGGTCACAGTGTGAGGAACCAGCTTTTCTGGATGCAGTCGTTCAGGGCTGGACTGACAGAGGCTGCACAGACTCAGCCCATGTACGCTCCCATCAAGTCACTGCCCTGACTTTGTGAATAACCACCCCGGGGAGGCTTCAGCACAATGTTCCAGCCAGCTGGAAGCAGAGATCTCCATTTCCTGGGAAAACCACACACATGGGGCTGCGCTCAATGCACACATACTTGTGGGGGAGGCTACAAAGGCAGAACCTTCTGTCACAGTGAGAAACAAAGCTCAATTTCCTGTGCCAAGGATGGGGAGACATTTCCCACTGCAATGTGCCTCTCCTCTCTGTTCTCCATCCCAGCGCTGGCGAATGCATTTGGCTGCACAGGAAGCAGGACAAGGCACAAGCTCAGTGAGCTGCCAGCTAGAGAGGCACAGGGAACCCAGAGACACATTCCCAAACAAGCGGCCTCACCTGTCATCCTTGCAGGGCACAGTGTAAGATGGTCCAAGGAAGTCCAAGAGTCCTCCAGCTGTGCTGGGCTCACAGCTATACACCAAGGCATCCACCAAGTTCTCTGATGTTGCCTTTGTGTCACCAAGAATCAAGTTGGTGCTGTACACAGCAATAGCACTGGAGCCTTTGCTAGCAGCAGGGATGTCCTTGAAAGTCAGGTTTGCCCCATCTGGAAATGCCAGGGCAATAGGTGAGGTGAAGATGTAGATAATGTTAGGCTGAACCTTGAGCCTGACAGGACAAGCCAATAACAAGGAGAACTCCAAGAACAGAAATGGGAGATTAAATAATGGTGGTGACTGAGGCCAAGAAAAGCTGTAAAGAAGCAACTGCTTGCTGTGAACACAGGTTTCCAAAAAGATCAAGGTTCCTCTGAGGTGCAGAGTCCTCTTCATGCAGCCCAGCCAGAACTTAAAGTGAACAAAAGATACATCAAGACAAATGAATGTGCCAAGCAAACACCATCTCAGGACCAGGAGGAGCAAGCAGCAATGCAGAGCTCAGTAGGGCATCAGTGAACGACCCAAAGTCTCGTGGACCCCACTTGTTCTGGAAGCCCTTTGTCTTGATACCAGCAGAAGGAACTTCCCGTTCCCCCGAACCCTCTACCCTGTACAGGGAGCTCAGCAGAAGCATGGAGGAGGACTAAGCACTTTCTCATCTGGAGTGTGACACAACAGCCCAGGCAGAGCAAAGAGAGGAAAAACAGGAATAAAGGACAGCAAAAGCAAGGAAAAGTTGTTCCCCACACCACGCATCCTGCTCCATCCCTCTCCTCAAAGCCGCCCAACCATCTGCCCATTTTCTTGAAGACGGAGCCTACGCCAGGTCCAAGCCATCAGCCTCACCGTGCCCGTGCCCTCCTTCCAGCGCAAACACCAACAGCCCCGTGGCTCCGATGGTGCCACTCAGAGTGATGCTGGCAAGTGCTCTGCCCTCCTTCCCTGAGAAGACGACCAGGCTGAGCCCTGCCAGGCTCGTGCCAGGCATCCCCTCGAGCTCCACGAAGCGGCAGTGGGCAGTGCTGCCGCCCAGGCACAGCTCGCTGATGCGGACAGCAGGAGGGACCAGCACTGAGGAGCTGCCGCACAAGTTCTCCCGCAGCGGCGTCACCACGGTCACCTGTGGGGAGACACAGAAGCTGCAGTCACTGCTGCTCTCCATCATAGAGCGACAGCTGCTCGTGGTGTCACCTCTTACTTGTGCCTCCTACAGCTCCCTGCTGAGGCATGAGGAGAATGTGGTGGTTCTGCCTCACACCAGCTGCTCCTCACTCCACCATCTGCTCAAAGGTTGTCCTGACCACAGGGTCCCATCACCACACATTCTCATCAGTGCCTTTTGCTCCCACCGTCATGACAAGAAACAATTCTCTTTGAATCACAGAATCCCGGACTGGTTTGGGTTGGAAGGGACCTTAAAGCTCATCCAGTTCCAACCCCCTGCCATGGGCAGGGACACCTTCCACTAGACCAGGTTGCTCCAAGCCCCCGAGTCCAACCTGGCCTCGAACACTGCCAGGGATGGGGCAGCCACAGCTTCTCTGGGCAACCTGTGCCAGTGCCTCAGCACCCTCACAGGGAAGAGCTTCTGCCTAAGAGCTCACCTCAATCTCCCCAGTTTGACTTTAAAAGCTTCTTTGTGGTTCTCTTCCACTGCAAACGCAGACCTCCTCTGCTTCTAGAGTTTTACTGCCCCAGTTTTGGATCTGAGCAAACCTCTGCACTGGCCTGATCCCAACAGGCATCAGCAGTGGAGCAGCAAAGCCCTCTGTTACCCAGCTTTGTACAGGAAAAGCATCCATGTTCCTTCTGGGGGACTATCTGAAACTAGGTATTTTGAAATTAAAAGGAACAGTTCAGATGCATTAACACGAATCCATCACACCAGTGGTCAAGGCATGTCCTTCACACATCAGCCCTGCAGGAAGCTGGTTTTAGGGACGTGCTGTGCTACACATCCCAAAGCTGGCACCAGACAAGCAGGGCTGCAGAAGTGGCTCCACATCTGTCTTGGGGTAAGTTGAGAGTCCAGGATGCTGCTCAGAAGCAGACTCCCTCATTCTGGCATCAGTGGCACGTGAGCTGTCTTCAGGGATCGCCTGGATCTGAAGCCACGCTGCACAAGGCAGGCAGTTCTCACCTGGCCATCAACAGGCAGGTGAACAGGGCAGGGAGGTAAGGCCTGGTGAGAGCACCAGCAGATGGCAAGATGTAGATGTGGCACACCAGAATGCCTTGCTTTCCCAAATAAAGGACATACTGAAACACAACTGCTGCCCTCCCTGTGACTATGGATGGAGAAGGGCCATCTGTCATCAACCCACCTGGAAGCTGCTCTGGAGTTTAGCGCTCAGGCTGTGGCAGCGGCTCAGAGACTCGTCCTCAGTGCTGTGAGAACAGTTTTCATAGAGGATGCTCTGCCCTGGCACCAGCACTGTGAGCAGATGGGCTGCCTTCTCCGACATTCGGGATGAGTACACCATGGCATCCACCAGCCCCTCTGCAGTCACAGCCATGTTCACCATGTAGAGGGTGGTGTTGCTGTAGTAGAGAGCCACAGCGTCCGCCCCATTCTGGATGGTGTTGGGGGGCAGCCTGATCATGGATGCTGGCCTCATGGTGCTGCTCCCCACCAGGAAGTAACCCAGCTCATCTGTGTGGTGTCCAGACAGGTCTAACACCCGGTAGGCCCGGCTATTTTTACCGTTGTAGAGGACCAGCCAGTATCCCTGGAGGTCAAAGCGTGTCTGTCCAGTGTAGAAGAGTTCGATGTACTCTGCATCCTCTCTTCCCCCTGGGTTGTCCGGGTTCACCTCACTGATGAGTAGCTTGGGCAGTTGCACAGAAGGATTTTGAGTCCCTTTTGGTATCTCTGATGGAAAGTCACAAATATGGGAAACAACACAACATTGCATGCTATTCTGCTGGTGGGAGACCATGTCCAGCAGAGGACTGAGGATGCCAACTCTGATTTTTATCATCTCTATGCTCTATACTCCTTAGAAGATCCCTGACCACACTCCGGCTAATACCAGCTCTAACAGGAGAGCTTGCTGTTATCCCAGATAATGAGCAACATGGGCTCTAGTAACTGGATGTGATGGAATTGGAAAGGATCTTTGCCAGAGTTGGGAAATGGAGGGAGGGACATCTCCCTCCTCTTGGACAGCTGGACCCACATGTCCACCCTCAAACACATCATACCCCCTGAGCTGCAAGAATGATGACTGGTACCTGGAGGCAAGTCTGGCACATCTATATCCTTGAAGCAGGAGCTTTCTGCTGTGATGTTCCTTCTGCCAAAACTCACAAGTCTGGGTGTCTCTAGGAAGGTCCTGAATGCCAGCAGCAGGCTGTTCAGCTGATCCTCTGACTTAGCATTTAGCAGAGTGGTGAACACAAGCCCCAGGTCCTGGCAGGCTGCCCTTGGCTCTGCAGAGGGAAGCAGAGAACTGCCTCAGTTTCTCCAAGCCACCAAAGACCCACTTTCTCCTGGAAAAGACACAGAGCTCACCAGCTTATCCCAACCACCACTGCCCTCCTGGTCAGACTGACTGAGGGCAGCTCATCCCCTCTGCACAGTGCTGTGAGCTCTGCCTGTGCCAAGGGGCACCTTGGGACCAAGTCACACAGCACACCCAAATCCTGTTGTCAGCCTTCTAAAGCCTTGGAGTCCCAGCAGCAAACAGAATGGTCTCTTTGGAGGGTGTCTAAACATAACCTAAACATAACATTGCTGATGAAGCAAGTTGTGGCTCTTCTCCTCATGTGTCTGCATGTGCACACTAACCTAGCAGGGATACCACAACAGCAACACAGATTAGTAAATCCACTTGCATTTCTGCTGCAACTTGGCTTAGTTCATATGGATCATAAAGTCAAGTAGGCAACAAACTTGAAGCCGAGATGTCAACCCTGCTGCCACATCTAGCTGCAAATGTCAAGGCCAAAATAGCTGGCGGTCTGCAGATGAGCACTGATGTTCATGTTGGTGGAGCTGCAGACAGGAGTGTTCTGTGGAACGTGAAAGAGCAGCACCATGTTCTGCTTAACACTGGACACCTCTTTCAACTGTTACAGGTGAACCCAGGGCAAGCACCAAGTTCACACTCACTGGGATCCAAGCCAGGGTTTCTCTGATACAGTGCAACAGGGAACACAGGGCTGAAAATCAGAAGTGAATGGGCATGCTGGTTAATGGTGTCGGGAGTGCCCTGCTCACCTTTGAAGTATGCAGCAGAGACTCCACAGCTGCACGATTCATCAAGGGCCTGGACCAGAGTCATCAGAATCTCTTCTGACTTCAGGAGCCACTCCTGGCAATCTAGGAAACAAAAAACCAACCATACAAAGGCAGTGCAACCTTGGTCATGGGATCCAGCTCACTCTGGGATGGGTGCAGCTGAGCTCCGGCTTGTCAGCCAGAGGGCCCAGAAAGGCTTCTTTTCACCCGAGCAGCTGGATGTGAGAATGAAGAGTGGAGAAGCTCAGTGTCATGGTTTAAACCCAGGCGGTAGCTCAGCACCAGCAGCCACTCGCTCACCCCGTGGGTGGGATGGGAGGAGAATCTGAAGAATGTAAAACCCACTGTGGAGATAAAAACAGTCCAATAACTAAAGTAGAGTGTAATGCTACTACTACGGGAGATAACAAGGAAGGGAATATAAAACTAAAAGGGGAAAGGGAAGAGAAAAACAACAATAAACACATGTGCTGCACAATACAATTGCTCACCACTCACCAACCAATACCCAGCCCGACCCAAACAGTGATCTGGGCCTTCGGGGCGACTCCCACCAGTTTGTATACTGGGAATGCCGTGCTGTGGTATGGAATACCCCTATGGCCAGTTTGGGTCAGGGGTCCTGCCTCTGCCTCCTCCCGGCTTCTTGTGCCCCTCCACATTGTCAGAGCATGAGAGACTGAAAAATCCTGATCAGGGTAAGTGCTGTTGAGCACCAACTAAAACTTCGGTGTGTTACCAGCATTGTTCTCAGCTAAAGCCAAAACACAGCACTGCACAAGCCACTAGGAAGAGAATTAACTCTATCCCAGCTGACACCGGTACAATCAGCTTGGCATAGGTTGTCTTCCTGGACAGCCCTGACTTTGTGATCATGCTCTTGTCCTCAGGAGGTCCTGCCCACAAGAGCAGAAATAACTAATATCCAACCTGCTACATGAAGGCAGAAGGAGAGCGTCTGGCTGAAGTGTTTGCTGGGGCAGTCATTGAACTTGCCAGGCGTGGGTCTGCTGAGGACATAGGACAAAGAATCCCGGATCATGAAGCAGCAGTTGCACTGGCTCATGGACACTTCTCCCAGCTGCTGCCTGCGAGAAACACATCATAAATGAAGTAAAACATAACCCGCCAGCCAGAGATCCATGTGCTCTTCACCTACCCATCACACCTGCCTGTCCGACCACACCACCATGCACTTTTGGTCTTCTCCCTTCAGAAGGTTTGGAGAGATATCCCATCCTCAGCAGTACCTCCTTGGCTCAGAAAAAGGCCCAAGAGCTCACTATATCTTGAGAGAGAAAAGCATGGGCTTCATCCAACCCTTGCTTTTCCAGCACTGGCTGCTTTTTTGACTGACATGAAGGCAGAGCATGCCTAAAATGTGAACAAAATAACTCTCATGTCTCGCATGAGAGTTTACTTATGTTTTCCTTGACCCACAAACACAAAAAGAAACCAACCCCCCCACAAAAGAATGTGGCTCTAGAACAGAATGAGCAGTAACCCTGCTTCCAATCTGTGGTCTGGATGAACCAGGGCAGGGATTTCCTCCTGGGTCAGGTGAGTGATACTGAAGCCACTCCCTCACACTCATTTTGATCTAAAAGTCTATCCTGAACCTAAGGAAAACCTTCTCTTATTGAAAGCAGTGGAAAAGTTATTGTACTGACCATTACACTTTTATAAACAATGAATAATTAAAATTATAATAACTACCAATTATTTGGTCAGAGAATTCCTCCCCAAGTACTTTATTCTGCAACTGTACAGCTGCATCAGGAGTTCCATGGGGAGGGGAACATCCACAGACTTAGACCACATGGTGGAAAAAGACCAGGACTCTAAACCACCAGAAGAGTCCCTGGTCTGGAGGTGGCACTTGTCATCCTGTCTCAGCCGGGGTCTGGGGAGCAGGCAGGGTGACCCCAGCAGTCAAGGTGCCCATCTCCTCCCAGCCCTGCCCAGCGAGAAGCCTCTCACTGTGGTTTCTTGTAGGCAGGTCTGCCAGGGGTCAGGATCTCCAGCAGCTCAGGGTTCGGCTCCTCATTGCTCGAGTACACGAAGGCATCCATCAGGCCAGTCACTGGCAGTGCCTTCCCCAGGTCAAAACTGCTGCTGTTGCCTCTGTAGAGAGCAACGGCACTGGGGCCACCCCTGAGGAGAGGACGGGTGGTGTTCTCTGGGAATGGCAGATCCACTACACACCAGGAGAGAAAGGAACAACAACAGCACGTAAATAACATGTGAGTGATACCCATGGTGTAGGAAACCAGCACCAATTTGGTCCTGGAGAGCCGGAACTCAGAAAGTGGCTGCAGTGGTCTGCTTATTGAAAATTTGGCATCTGCTGCCCCATCTTTCTGCTCACTAACATTTCCCATATCCGCTCAGTCTGAATGTCCTCATTCGTGGCCAGATCCACAGCATGGAGGAGGCTGGAGGGGGAATTCTGAGCACAGTTCATCTGCTGTTTCAGTTCTGTGAATAGAGGTGCTAATTCACCTGTAAGCAGGGGAACCAGTAAGCAAGTGCTGATGTGCCTTTGTCTACAGTAAAGTAAATGTTTAAATCTAAAAGATACCTGTAAAATCCACTAACCTTTCAGGCAACAGTGACTTCAACAGTACACAAAAATATTTAAGAATTGACATTCCATCCCAGCATTTAGCAGTCCATGTTTTTTACAAACATGAACACTCTGCACATACACATGCACATTCAGCAAAGGTCCCCGATACCACCATACAGAATTAAGGATGATGTTCCGTGGAGTTTCCCAATTTCATGTGCTTCCCAGTTTCCTTCCTCACACTGTTCCCTATACAAGCTGTTTCCCAATCACCAAGTAGGAACTGCTAAGGACATTACAAAGCCCACTGCGGATATTTCAATACTCCCTGGGTAAATGGCTCCAAGGAACCAACATTAAAGGAAGAATCACATGAGAGGCAGAAGGGTAGGAAGAAGTGGTTCCTCCTGAGAAGTACATCATGGTTTAACGCCAGCACGATGCAGCTGCCTGCTGACCCACCACCCCAGTGGGATGGGGAGGAGAACTGGAAACAAAAAGGTAAAACCCACGGGTTGAGACACAAACAGTTTAAGAATTAAAATTAAAAAGTGATATTAATATATTAATGGGAATATATAAATCGGAAGGGAGGCAACAAGAAGAGAGAGAGGAATAAAACCCAAGAAAGCCAAGTCATGCTCCATACAGCTCCTCACCACATGCCACCCAGCCCCCAGCAGCAATCAGTCCCTCACAGTTAATTCTCATTAGTTTCTATCCCAGCATGACATGCTGTGATATGGAATATCCCCTTGGCTACTTCAGGTCAGGTGTCCTGTCTCTGCTCCCTCCCAGTTCCTTGTGCCCCTCCTCACCGGCAGAGCACGAGAGACTACTTTGTGTAGACACTGCTCATCAACAACTAAACCATCGGTGTGTTCTCAGCATTATCCACTACTAGGGAAAAATTTAACTCTATTCCAGATGAAACCAGGACAAAGTGCCACAGTGCACCTGCATGCTAAGGGTCAGTCCTGTGCCTTAGCCCTGATGCACTCCTATCCAGGGATCTATTTTTCTCCTGCCTGCCTCATCTGGTGGTCTTCTACAGTTGAGCAACTGCATTGGAGGATAAGGGAAAGGCAACTGATGTCACCCATCTTGACTTTTGCAAGGTCTTTGACATAGTCCCGCACAACACAACATCCTTGTCTCTAATTTGAAGAGATAAGGATCTCATGGATGTCCTGTTCATTGGATAAGGAATTGGCTGGATGGCCGCATCCAAAGAGTCAACAGATCTATGCCCAAATGGAGATCAGTAACAACTGGTATCCCTCAAAGGTCTGTATTGGGTCCAATATAGTTCAATATCTTCATTAATGACACAGCAGTGAGTGCACCCTCAACAACTTTGTGGATGATACCAAGCTGAGTGATGCAGTTGATACACTTGAAGGAAGGGATGGGATCCAGAAGGACTCTGATAGGCTGGAGGAGTAGGCCATATGAACCTTATGAAGTTCAACAAGGCTAAGTGCAAGGTCCTGCCCCTGGGTCAGGGCAATCACCAGTATCAGTTCAGACTGGAGGATGAATTGATAGAGAGCAGCCCTGGAGAGAAGGAACTGGAGATACTGGTGTATGAAAAATTGGACATGACCAATCATGGTGTGCTTGCAGCCCAGAAAGCTGACTGTATTCTGTCCTGCATCATGAGAAGTGTGACCAACAGGTCAAAGGAGGAGATTCTCCCACTTTACTCCACTCACATGAGACCCACCTGGAGCACTACATCCATCTCTGGGGGTCCTGGCACAAGAAAGACATGGACCTGTTAGAGCAGGTCCAGAGAAGGCCACAAAAATTATTGATGGGCTGGAAGAACCTCTGACATGAAGAAAGGTTGAGGGAGTTGGGCTTGTTCAGTGTGAAGAAGACTCTGAGGAGACCTTCTTGCAGCCCTTCAGTACTGAAAGGGGCTTAGAAGAAAGATGAGGACAGACTTTTTATCAAAGCCTGTAGGTACAGGACAAGGGGGAATGGCTTTAAACTGACAGAGGGGAGACTTAAATTAGAAAAATAAGGAAGAAACATTTTAGAATGAGGGCTTAGCAAGATGCTGGCACAGGTTGCCCAGAGAAGCTGTGGCTGCCCCATCCCTGGCAGTGTTCAAGGCCAGCTTGGATGGGGCTTGGAGCAACCTGCTCTAGTGGAAGGTGTCCCTGCCTGTGGTAGGGGGTGGGAACTGTATGAGCTTTAAGGTCCCTTCCAACCCAAACCATTCCATGACTCAATAGAAAGTTTTCACACTTGCATCTGTCAAGTGAGGACTTCTGCTACAGTGCTCTCACAGCTTTCAGTTCTCTGTAGTCATAGGTAGACAACCTGTACAAAACAGGACCAACAGGCAGGGCTGTTCTAAGAGCTCCTGTCCCAAATCTGTAGTGGTCAGATTAAATCACATTCTCACAGAGTGCTCAGCATGGAGTCACTGTGAAAGTATCCTTTGAAGATGACTAAAATGTAATCACACAGTGTCAGGGGGCGTTTTGGGGGAAAACCTTCCACAAAAATGCGTGTGCAGTGCTCTCAAGATATCTTGACAGAGCCTCATTGGAAAAAAAAGCCAACGCATTTCTCCAGCCACATTCTTGACTTGGGTGAGCCTTGAGGCTTGAGGAGAAATAAAACATAATCCTTAGGAATTTCCTGCTCAGCCTGCACGCTGGTTGTGCTACCATTGCTTTCTTTGCCCCCTTAGCCTTTGACTGCTAACAGCCCCGGCTTGTTCAGAGGTAAGAGTAGAGCATCATTCCTAGTGAGAAAAGCAGAGTTCAGGTGGACAATCAGCTCTTCTACTTGTGGTATTAGGAGCAGTTTGAAATGCAAAAATGAGCTGAACAGCTTTAAAAAAAAAATTAACAAAATTTAGTTTCAAAAGTATTGTTATGGGAACCAGCTCTGACCCAGAAATCACGAGGCAGTGAATTACACAAGACATCTGCAAAATCAGCAGCTCCAGCTGCCAGAATCTTCTTTTGAGGTGCTCAAAATAACAAGATGGTTCTCCTTCCTCCTCTGGTGGCCTGAAGAAATGTTGAGCACTGGGAGGAAGTACAGATCACAGCTTCACACAGCCAACACTCGTGACCTACACTGGCAGGTGGAGCAATGGAAGCACAGCCCTTGAGCTTTCTGAGAAGAGAGACATGTCTGCTGTGAATGACCAGGTTACACACAGAGAATGGGATATTGCAAGGAGAGGTGGCCCAGCCAGCATCCTGTGGGACACGGCAGGCTGGACACAGGGCTGGGAGCAGGCACATGCCCTCCCAAGCAGTAAAGGCACATGCTGACTTCAGACCTGGAGCTCTGCAGGTCTACCATCACTGGAAGACATAGCACCTCCTTCTACCTTCTTCTGATGCCCTTCAGGTTTTTTTTACCAACAGAAAAGGGTAAACAGTCGACCACTGTCCACTTTCTTCAGGATATTCACATTTGTCAAACCTCTGTCAATGCCCTCCTAAGTGTTCCCTTTTCTAGATGTACTTAGTTCTGTGGAAGAATTCCCAGAGCACTATCCATCCTAGCTGCCCTTCTCTGAGTATTTCCAATTCCAATATAGCCTTTTTGTAATATACCACACAAGACACAATTAAAGATACAAGCAAACCCTGAATTTATATCATAGCATAAAAGAAGACAGGCTGAGAGAGCTGGGCTTCTTCAGCCTGAAGAGGAGAAGGCTCTTTAAGGGAGACCTTAGAGCAGCTCCCAGTGCCTAAAGGGGCTACAAGAAAGCTGGAGAGGGGCTTTGGACAAGGGCCTGTAGGGGCAGGACAAGGGGGAATGGCTTTAACCTGACAGAGGGGAGACTGAGATGAGCTCTGAGGCAGAAGTTCTTCCCTGTGAGGGTGCTGAGGTGCTGGCACAGGTTGCCCAGAGAAGCTGTGTCTGCCCCATCCCTGGCAGTGTTCAAGGCCAGGTTGGACTCGGTGGCTTGGAGCAACGTGGTCTAGTGGCAGGGGGTTGGAACTGGATGAGCTTTAAGGTCCCTTCCAACACAAACCAGTCTGATTCTATGATAAAATATGCCTTCCATTCTTTCCTTTTCTCCTACTATTTTCTAACATTTGATTTGCTTTCTGTAAATCCTTTTCCAGTAATTTCTAATATTTAATTTGCTTTTTTATCTGCCACTAAGTTCTGAGTTACATTTTCACCAATCTCTCAGAACACCACACAGCAATAAAAACCCAGCATCCTCCACCCCTAAACTTGGCTGATGGCTCCCCCGCTCTGAGGTGGTCATCGAAACACAGTCCTTACCTGGGGTTTTGCTTTGTGCTGGACCGATCAGAAATAGCCCATCCAGTGAGGTTTTGCCATAAACATCTATGGTGAAATAAATGTCTTTGGTCCGACCGTCAATCAGCACCAGAACAATGTCCCTTAGCATGGTGGAGTGGGGACCCTGGAGCTCTATGAACTCAAAGTCTTCAGAAGAAGAGGCAGCAAGGACCTCACTGATCAGGACAGTGGATGCATTCAGCTGAGAAGTTAGAATGCAGTGGTTGTCTGTGCCTGGGGTTGGCACAGCCACTTGGAAGATCCACTGAGAATCTGCCCCAAGGCACCTTTCTATTGACTCATCCACGGTCCTGAAGGTGGGGTCCTCCAAGAAAGCATCTCTGCCGGGGGTCAGCACCCTGACCAGCGTGTCCGCTCTGTCCGTCTTCTTAGTCTTATGGACCAAGGCATCTACTAGTCCATAATCTGTGACGCTCATACCCTCTCTATAGTTCCCTTTTCCATAGTAGAGAGCAATTGCATCAGGGCCATTCTGGATAGTACTCTTTGGAATAACTATAGCAGGGTTCACAGAAGTGGAGCCAATGAGAAAGAGCCCTTGGCTGTTAGTGACGTTACCCTGGAGGTTCAAAACTTTGTATGCTCGGTTTCCATTGCCGTTGTAGAAGACCAGATAGTAGCCATCCAAGCAGGCTGTTTGACCACTGGTGTGATAGAGCTCCACGAACTCAGAAGTGTCCTCTCCTGGGTTATCAGCATTGACTTCATTAATCAAGAGACTATGCTCTGTTTTCTGGTCCCTGGGGTTTGTTACGAGATTCTGAGGAGCAACCTTGGGAAACCAGATGTACGCAAGTACCATCAACCCAACGTGCCAGCTACCTCCCATGATGAAGGCTGGGATTTTTGTTTCAGTTCAAACCTAGAGGAGATGGGGTCTGTTCTTCTCACACTCACAAACAGAGCACAGAAGGAAGCTGCAATCACTTGCCTGTTGCGGGACAGCAACGTAAGGCCTCCAACCTGGATGCTCACTGGCAGAGGCACCGGCATGGACACTGGCAGAGATGGGGATGTTCTTCAAGGGTTCTGGTTTACAAAGCAAAGCAGCAATCCTACCAAAACCAGACTGAGAAGCAGATGGCTCCAACATGAGGTTCCCCAGCTCAGCTCCTTTAAAAATTGGGGTGGGGTGAAAGAACAATCTTGTTAGGAAAGACAAAAACACACCAGTGACATTTAAAAGACTTAAAGCCCATGATTTTCCCTCCCTGTATTTCTTCAGAGGTTTATCGTGATGCACAACAGTGACTGTGAGGAGACAAAGCCAGCAATTTTCAGTGACAAAGCCAGCAGTTCAGTGTTTGAAACGCTGAGACTGGGACAAACATTGACAGTTGTACGATGCCTATGGTTAATAGTTTTTTCCCCCCCAGGTCCAACCATAGGAATTAATACAAAACAGCACTAAAGAAGATAGTAACCACCTTCTCCATCAAGGCAAAGGTGGGGAAGGAGAGGACAGATGGGTTTGGCTGGGTTCTTGTCACACACACGACAGAGCAGCTCCGCTGAGCCCCACAACAACCAACCCACCCACCCTGCTGCAGCGCTGGCAGATACAGAACACACTTGGGGAGGAACTGGAGATTTGAGGTCTTCAGAAAAAGAAAAAGTTAGATTTGTTTTCCCATTTCCAGAGAAATTTCCACAAGCAGCCATACCATCACCTGCTGTGTTCAGATGGCCTCCTTGCAGCCTTTGGCCAGCTGAGATCAGACACAGGGAGGTTTCCAAGCTGTGCAGTGATTGCCAGCACAGATGCCAGAGGCCTGTTTCCTGCCTGCCGCATCCATGTGGGGCTGATGGATCGACCACACACAACCCTCCAGCTGGTTAAAATCACAGCATCCCAAAGGGGTGAAGTTCCACCTACAGTGGGACTGTGGTATCACAACCTTTAGCTACAAACACCCAGGCCTGTAAGTGTGCTAGTGTGGTCCTGTTTAATTACAGCTACCTGAGCTAGAGCCAGTGTCTCCTCACAAATAGGAGGAAATCATAGAATCCCAGACTGGTTTGGGTTGGAAGGGACTTTAAAGCTCATCTGGTTCCAACCCCTGCCATGGGCAGGGACACCTTCCACTAGACCAGGTTGCTCCAAGCCCCATCCAAGCTGGCCTTGAACACTGCC